GGTGGTGCCATCTCATGGAAAAATGATAAACAAAATCTAGTGGCATCTTCTACTATGCAGGCTGAATTTGTGGCATGTTATGGAGATACAATTGAAGCCATTTGGTTAAGGAATTTTATTTTTGGGCTGAAAGTTGTTGACTCCATCTCGAGGCCAATCACTATTTATTGTGATAATAGCGCAACAGTGTTCTTTTCAAGAAACAATAAAAGTTTTAGTGGATCAAAACACATTGACATCAAATATTTGGTGGTCAGAGACATCAATTAATTATGTGATTCTTATTCTTAGCATGATTGTATTGAATAATTTCAACACTGATACCATGCTGAACCAAATTATTTAAGATAAAAAATATTCACTTCGACACAAAATATGGCGACTTTTCGTTTCTTAATCAGTCTTAATGTCGTAAACTGTACATATATACACATTTTGATCGATATAGAAAAGAACTTAAAAGCAGAGACATGTTGATGGAAGCTTTCCAGTTGCCCTGATTTTGTTTGCCTTAGCTTTCACTTTGAACTCTTCATTTCTTCGATTGTCCTTTGCCTGTTCCCTTGCTCCTGCAGCTATCTCTTGAATTCTCTCAATGTCACTCCGGTACCTCTCAATGGCTTTTTTTCGTTTCTTGTCTGATAATTCATTCTGAAAATTTGTTAACTTCATAGTCAGCTCAAACAATAGCAGTTCTCAGGACATGTTTGGAATATAAAACTGTAATTGACAAGATTTTAGCTTCTTTTATTCCTCAATATTCTCCAGTATTTTACAGAAAAGTAAGAACCATAAAGTACTCTAGGATGCGACGAAATGAACCTCTGTCTTTTCTAGTCGACGCATTGCTTTTTCCTTCTTCTTAGTCTCCCAGTTTTGAATTCTGGTTCGCAGCATCTCATACCTGAAATATCGTTCATTAAAATCTATACAGAAATTATTTACGAGATATAAACACGTAAACATCAATGAAGATATAATTTCGTTAAAAACTATTTCCCATGGTTGGTGCCAAGCACTGGGATGTTTTCCGCTAGGCGGTCTCTTATCTGTCAATGGATTCATCAGCAGCTTGAACTTTATAAATATAGTCAGATATGATTCAGTACCTTTCTTCAATCCTAACCATTTCAGCTTTTTCCCAAGCATCTGCCATTGTGTCTCCAGGTCTCGGTGAATACTGGTTTTTGGTTTCAACTGGTTGCGGTGTGGATTGTCCGGGGGTTGGCCAGTCGGGCTTCGGCACCACACTTTCAGGATTTTCACTACTTGTTTGAGTTGTCACCACACGTTCAGGCTTTTTGCTCCTTGTTCGAGTTCGTTCCATGGATGGGGAAGGTTCAGCAGCCTTCCGAGGCACTGATTTTTCAGGTAGAGGATCAACAAAAGTCGGTGTTTTTTTCATGGATGGTGCAGGGACAATTTCCTTTTCAGGCATCTTTAATCCACTAGTTGGCATCCAGGCATCTAGATCTTGTGAACTTGTATTTGGAATTTCATCTGATACAAAATTATTTGTTAATCACTGACGATGTAAAAAGTGAATCCGGCCTTCACAAATGAATGAAGGTGCATGTTGGAGATTAAATAAATAAATTTATACCTGAGAATGAAACAGTACGTTTGCGTAAAATTCCTCGAACTTCTGCTGCGTTGTTCGTCCTGGTGGAGGGTGCATATTCAGGACCATAGGCTGCCGTCTTGTTCTGATCCCAAATTCTTGATTCGTCAAGTGAATGAACTGCAAAAGCAGAAGCTGCAACCGCGGTGGTGTATGCGAGTACATCATCAGTGAAATCATAATCCCAACTCTGTTGTCTAGAAAACTGTCTTCTTAACCAACTCTGGCTTCGCCTTTTCTCTGCAAAACATGGTTTACATTCATTTCTTGATGCGTATGTAGATTGTTAGTTTCCACTGCACACAAATCAATACATGTAGCAGTATGGGAATTGTCAATTGACAAATAATTGTTCTTTTTCTATACTATGTTTTATTTTATATTATATTTGACGTCATATAACCTTTATCAATATCTTTAACCACCTGCACATAGTGGGTTGGAGACATGTTGTCCACCGGTGATGTGGCAACACCACCAACATGTGGTGTTCCCACATTATCGGTGGGGGCCTAAAATACTGGTGATGTTGCCACATCATCGGTGGACAATATATCTCCCATCCACATCAGTTTTGCTTTAACCACAATAGAACTGCAGCTAACTCTTTGGCCACTTAACCATCTATATCCATGTCAGTACAGTAGTTGGTCGAATTTCCAATATTGATAAAAGCAAATGGAAACTTCATAAATGAAATAAATTAAGGTACCTTCGAAAGATTGAGATTTTTGAGGTAATATTTTTCTGTCTCTTGCACTTCTGCTCTCTTCTTTGCGTTCCTTTCCTGTATTAGAATATCTTAACCCATACAAATGGTCAGCGATGATTGCAAAATTTTACTGCTCGTCGAATCTGATTTAAGCAATCGTATACCAGTATATGTAATAATTCAAGTTACCTCGTTTGCCTTATCAAGCTCTCCATTCTTTAAGAGGACACCTGTAGGGAAACTTGCAACAGAAGAAGTGATTGATTGACAATGTCACGTATTTGGTGTATATTTGAAGAAGCATATATGGGAAGAAAGGAAGGTTTATTATAGGATGTGAATAAGGGTTTGATGACAAGCAAACTTAGGTATTCTTTGCATGTTAGGCCTGATTTTGCATCTTTAAGCTTTGAAGAAAAGCATACTTTTCTTCTTCCTGATACTTACTTTTTTGGGGCAGAAACTTTGTATAAGCTTTTGGGTTCCTTTCTACATTTTTAGCTTTAAATATCAATACTCCTCAAAGGTTAAAATAAGTAAGAGTTAATTTGAGCAAGGCCCGGTCCTGAGGCCGGATGAGGCCTGCGCCTCAGGCCCAAAACTGGAGGGGCCTCATTTTTGGCCCAAGTTTTTTTTTCCCCCTCATTCTAAATGAATAAATGGAAATTTTCACTCTCCTTCCCTTCAAACTCCAACAGTCGTGATTCCATCTCCGGTCTCTCCTTCCCTTTTTTTCCTCCAGTTCTTCCCTTTTCCTTCACTCTTTCACAAATCACAATTCACAAGATTCACATTTCAAAACAATAGAGAAAAAATCAGTCGGCCCTTTTTTCAACCCTAACCGCGCGAGTCGCTAGCCAAGGTCGACCGTCGACTAGTCATTACTGTGCTTCCGTTGCTACTTCCGCCAGTTTCATAGACCTTGGATTAACTACAGTCAGTTTGATAACAATGGTGATGAGTCTGATTCTGAGCAGGTAATTTTTTTTTTTGTTATTACTCAACGTACAAGTCTGGTCTTTTCTCCTCTGAAGTAGAATCAACATCATCTGAATAACGGAAGCACTTGTAATTAAGAATTCAATTTGCACCTTCCTGAAAATAACACATTTTTACATAATATACGGTAAACTTCAACCCAAAAGGCAAAAATAAGTGATCTTTTTTTCCACAATTACCTGAATTAAGGGGCTTTTGCGGCGATAATTTGCCTTCTAATCTTTCGATTCGTCAGATTGATGTCGCAGGATAAAAAAAAAAATCAGAACTTGTTTCCAGTCATTCTGGCTTATAATTATTATCCAAAATAATTAATTCTGAATTTCTACATGAAGATGAGAGTTCAGAAATTGAATAGTGGAAAATTCGTTGATTGAACTTTGCACGATTGCAGTTCCCTTTTGTGAATAATTCTAGTGGGTTTTGTTAGAGTTAATTAAGTAGTTCAGAAAAATTTGCTGAATGGAATTACATTTGAAATTTTCAAGTTCAACTGCTCAATTTTATATTTAAGCTCATTTCTAGGTTCTATGTAGGTTTTGATAATCCCTTCCTATTTGGTCATAAAATTCTTGGCATCTCCAAGGTCTTGAAAGTTCTTCAAATGCTCACATGTCGACACTCTTGGAATTGAAATGATGAGATAATTTTTGTACTGTGTGTAGTTTAGCTAAAAGTGTTCTATGTTCATGTTGTTGTGTGTAGTTTGTTATATGTTATTGAAATGGTGCACGATTAGATGTGACTACAGGCTTGTGAGATGTGGTGGTGGAATTCTCAAGGGTGTGATTCCATAATTTTCGTCGAAATTCTGCTTCTCAATGGTTTGTCCTAACTCATTATTGAATATATTAAAAATGTTTGAAGCATTGTCGGCGTATATAAATGTGGCCTGGTCGGCTTATATGAATAGTTATTGTAGGATCAATTGCACAGACGCACACAGTAACTATATTGAAAATATTTACGTTAATTTTGGGGGGCCTAATTTATGGAGTTCGCCTCGGGCCCCGAAAATAACAGGACTGACCCTGATTTGAGCACGACTTTTCTATGTTCGACCCCTTATTGAAAATAAGTTTTAGTTTAGAAGATTCTTATGTAAAACTTTTCAACTTTACTTGTACGGGTGTATATACTTAATTCAGGGAATTCTTTCCCAATAGAAAACAATTAAGGGCCTGTTTGGTATGGATTTTGATTTTCTACAGTAAATCAATTCTCATTTTCAACCACACATTCTTCAATAAAATAATATTTTCCATCACATCAATAATTTTTTCTTCTTTTTCAACCACACATTTCTCATCATATCACTATTCAAAAATCAATTCTTCCCCCAAAAATCCCTACCAAACAGGCTCTAATTTAGATTTTAAGAAGGTTGAATGACTTCTCTCTTTGCCCTAGGAGACATTGGTTAAAATAGAATATGTTATGTCGTGTTTGATAAGTTAAATTGTGCATTATTAAACATGATAAAACCAATAAAATGTTGTTTATTGTCTAATTCAAGTATCAAACATTTGTCAAAAATTGAAATAATGGATTATTTGGTAAGGGCCGTTTGGTAAGACCTTTAAGAAATCAAAAACTAATTTGGAAATTTAAAAGCTTTTTTTTTTTTTTTTAACATAATTTGATAATTTTTTGAAAGTGTTCAATAGAAATTTCTTATACATGAAGCAAAAGTAAAAATGAAAGTCGTTTCAACGGATCATAAGCAAAATAGTGCATTATGAGACGTGATTAAACAAAAAAAGATTAAGGATAAAATCTTATTTGTTGTCTAGTCAATCCTAATACATCCTATCACAAATGGGCAGAGGTAGTGGGGGCCTAGGCTGGGCTATAGCCCAGTCCTCCCCCTAGCCCATATGGAAAATTTAGAGTAAATTGTTCAATTTAGACCCAAATATTTGTATTAGCCAAACTCTAGTTTGAATTATAACTCAAGTCCAATGGTCGTTTATTCAATTTTTGTTAAAAGAGAATACAATTATTAAATAATCTTTTCATGATATTCACGTTTCCAATGTTCATTTATTCAATTTTTGTTAAAGAGACTACAATTATTAAAATACTCTTTTCATGATATTCACGAAACATGAATAGATTCTTATTGTCAATTTAAGCAATTTATTTAATGCATGTTTGACTAAATTTACTTACGATAATTAAGTAAATTTTATAATTGATAATAAAAATAAATTACTTATTTTAATAGTTAGAAACACTATATGTTTTGCTAAACTTTAAAGTAATTAACTTTTTAATTCTACGTATGTTTTCATATATTACTTATTCATATTTATATATATAAAAAAAAATTATTCATTTTGATCATGAAATAGACGTTATCATCATAAGTAACTTGCTCTACATCCTATCTTGTCAATAAAAGAATATTTGTTAAAGTTTATTTATTTATAAATTGATCTATATATAAATATATTCTTGAAATTGAGTCAAACATGGGTATGAATTAAATCTAATTTCATTTGACCCTCATAATTCTTAAATCGATTTTTCTCACTTTGGATGAGATTCTTCACTTATTATGAAATGAAGTGATATTGAAGAATGACGTCCATACCAAATAATATTTTGAGACAATAACATATAGTGATGTATTATTGATTGCGTGTTTCGGCTAAAGATTTCAATTGTTTGGAAAAACTGATTGTCAAAAGTTTTTTAGAATAGTATTCATTAAATAATTTCTTAGTTTTTTATTAGTTGATATGTATCTATTTCTTATTTTGATAATGATTTGGTCAATTTATATTTTTTAATCCATGCGTTGATTTTCTATTTAGTAAGAAAATATAAAAAGATCGAGTGAGACATCTTATGATGAAATATTTAGACTTCTTTTATTTTATTGTGTGACGTACACTTTTTGTCATGAGTTTAACCTCTTATGGCGCGAATTCATTCGAAATTTTTTGAATTTCAGCTCATCCTGATGTTATTTTCTCAAGCCGCCCCTGCTATCACATGTGTCATTTCTCATGATTTCTTTGAATATTTAAGGAGAAAGCCCATGCTTCTAATAAAGCATGTTTATTGTCACAACTCTTTACAGCAAAGCACAAATGTCTAGTAGATGCCTTCAACTGTTAGAAAAATGTAGAAATATGAAGGAACTTAAGCACGTTCATGCACAGATGATTACATGTGGACTTGAAACCAATAGCTTTGCCATCAGCAGAATCTTGGCTTTCTGTTCAGACCCATTTCACGGAAGCCTGTCTTATGGGTACAAAATCTTTGAACAGATTCAAAACCCCACAATCTGCATATGCAACACAATGATCAAAGCTTGTTTACTCAAAGATGAATACATTAAATCGATTCAGATATTCAAAGACATGTTGAGAAATGGCATTTGTCCTGATAATTACACACTTCCTTATGTGCTAAAAACATGTGCAAAGATGAAAAGATTGGATCTTGGGGAATTGATTCATGGGTATTGCTTGAAATTGGGTTTCTTGTTTGATAATTATGTGGGCAATACTTTGATTCTCATGTACTCTGGTTTTGATGACATGGAAGCAGCAAAATGTGTGTTTGATGAGTTTTCTTGGCATTGCGTTGTTTCATGGACAGTTTTGATTTCTGGGTATGCTAAAATTGGGGATGTTTACACAGCAAGATTGGTTTTTGATGAAGCTCCATTGAAGGATAGAGGGATTTGGGGTGCAATGATTTCAGGGTATGTGCAAAACAATTGTTTCAAAGAAGGATTACAATTGTTTAGGCTAATGCAATTGAGTGGCAATAAACCTGACGAAGCAATATTTGTTGGCATATTATGTGCTTGTGCTCATATGGGCTCTCTTGAAATTGGGATATGGATTCATAGTTATGTAAAGAAATTGAGATTGCCATTGAGTGTTAAATTGGGGACTGCTCTGATTGACATGTATGTGAAATGTGGGCGGTTGGATTTAGCCGATGAAATGTTCGATGAAATGCCGAACAGAGATGTTGTTACTTGGAATGCTATGATCTCAGGATATGCTATGAATGGGAATGGAGATTGTGCACTTGAGATGTTTAACCAGATGCAAAAGGTTGGAGTGAGACCGGACGATGTTACGTTTATTTCTTTGTTCACTGCTTGTAGCTACTCAAACATGGCATATGAAGGTCTGAATTTGTTGTATATTATGCTTAATGTGTACAACATAGAGCCCAAAAGTGAGCACTATGGATGCATAATCGACTTTCTTAGTCGTGCTGGGCTTATCCAAGAAGCAAATTATGTAGTGCAGAGAATGCCGATTTCAAGTGCACCCTCTGAAGCAGCAATAGCTTGGAGGGCATTACTTAGTGCCTGCTGTAGACAAGGACAAATCAATGAAGCAGAAGTAGCTGCCAAGAGAATTGTGCAGTTAGCACGCCACAGTGGAGCCTATATTCTGCTCTCGAATGTATACTCAGATGCTGGAAAATATGATGAAGCGAGGAGGTCAAATCAATGAAGCAGAAGTTGCTGCCAAGAGAATTGTGCAGTTAGAACGCCACAGTGGAGCCTATATTCTGCTCTCGAATGTATACTCAGATGCTGGAAAATATGATGAAGCGAGGAGGATTAGGAAGGCAATGAAAAGTCGAGGGGTCGAGAAGACTCCAGGCTGCAGCTCAGTTGAGATTAATGGTGTTGTGCATGAGTTTATTGCTGGGGAGAAGACACATCTCCAGATGGATAAAGTATATGAACTTCTTCAAATCATCAACAAACACTTGGACTTTTCGCAAAGTAATTCAAGTTTGCTGCCTTTACAAACAGGAGGAATAAGATCTCTTCCAAATTGATTTCGCTACTGAGTTTGAAGCTTAGAAAAATGATGAGCACTTTAGTTCATGCAATCATACTCAATTTCTCCATTTCTTCCATCATGAGAAATGACATGACACAGAAGAAAACCTTAATTCATACTGAAAAAGAATACAAGTTATTTATTTATTGTTCTATGATATTTTAGATGCCAATGAAGGATACTTAAGATATTTGGATTGAGTTGCGTAATGGTCCCTGAACTTTACATCATATGCCAATAACATCTCTAAACTTCAATTGACTTTATTAGTCCTTCAACTTAGGGCGTGTTCGGTAGAGATTAAAATTGGATTAAAATTGAAAAACTAGTCGTTATTGTTGATTTTTATTAGACGAGTGGGACCCAACGGTTATATTTTCAATTTTAATTGGATTTTAATCACTCACAAACATGCTCTTAATGTCATAAACCCATTAGTTCCAAAAAGATATCTATAAATACTATGGAACACAGATGTGGCTCCGTTAATTGAATATGTAAGCATCCCAATCACACATTATTTGAACACGTGGACATTTTAAAATGAAAAAATTATCTATGGAGAATTAATGTTAATGAGAAATAAATAAAAACGCAAAATAAAAAGAAAAAGGAAAAAACTCAATTTTTTACCACCATCACCACCAAACAGCCCAAGCCATAACAACCATACCTTCCCAACACTCCCTCTACTTCACCACCACCCGAACAACTCCACTCCCCCAACAGCAAAACGACTAAGAAAACCATTATTGGCTTCATGCAACTGACTCAAGGAAAAGACGAGCTGTTGAAGGATTTCATTGCTTGTTTCAATAGGGCAATCTTAGGAATCGAGGACCTACAAATGTTGGCTGTTGTAACAACCAAGATGAATAGTACTTGTAATCACTTTTTTAAAATGCCACTATTAACTGGATTATATGCATGAGCTGTTGAGGAGGGTAGATAAGTATGTAGATGAAAAAAAGAAGACGGAAGTTTTCAGATGAGCACAAGTCGAGGGATGACAAAGGTAAGCACAAGGTTTATCATCGTAGTCGTGGTTGATTGGATGAAGAAAGGAAAGAATCCAACTACACCCCTTTAAACACTTCAAAGACAACATCCTAATGATGACAGGATTTCATACCTAATGGATCTCCAGATTCTTCCGTAAGTCAACTCTCCTTCCACTTCTGAACATAAGTCTCCTCAAATCAAAGAAAATATGATTTCGAAAGTGTCCCACATCTACAAGGAGCTTGTAATTCCATTATTACTGATATCACTAATCCAATCAATATTGTGTTTGGAAGTAGTGCTCGGAGTTGATCTATGGTGCGATTTAATCCTGGGATTCTACAATATATTGATTGATATTTCATCCACTTTCTAACCTCAATCTTTTTTCTTAATAAACATCAGAAAAAAGAACAAGTACGAAAAGACTCAGCTTTTATCCAAGCAGATTGGCAAACAAGTTCTCATTGCGCCCATTGTGAGATTCCTAACTTAATAACATGCTTCATCCATGTAAAATGCTGATTAGGTGACAACAAGAAAGAAAGACGACATGTAGAAAATGCACGTGGAAATCAAAGCATATATTAACTCAAATTTGTAGCATATAAGATGAATAACCTTGTTGGCGATCAATGTCGTTCAAAAATTTGCACCATTCAACCCACCCATGGTTTGCGTAAAGTAAAGAAGCTCCATAGCTTGTAGACAATTCTTTTTATGAAAACGTTTTAGCAGTTCACTGAGATTTGAGACACTATACTATATTGTATTTAATTTCATAGACAGGGTTAAAAAAACTACTTTATCATCTCGATCCTGCCACTAATGTTCAGTCCATCAAACAATTAGAGATTTGACACCTGGGATCGCATTCAAAGTTGTCAAAGGTATCATCCGAAGGAAATCATAAGTGCAATAAAAATACAAGAGCTCAAAATTCTAAAAGAATACTTAAGAGAGATCATAATTATACTTTAAGCAGTATGCTGACAAGAAAAATCTGAAATCAAGATCTACTTAAACCATACAAGCACTCACTAGAACACATTGCCATATAGGCATCACTACATATACACCAAATCAAGTCTCCACTTCAACAATCACAAGACTAACAAAAATCATGCACTTAGAAGCAATATTATTAATAAAACTTCAACAGCTCTAATTTGTTGCTCTTTCTAAAGGGCCAGATACAAAATTAAATTGATGAATTTGAACAGTTAAAGTAATAATCAATTTACTCACTTAAATAAGCTTAACAACAATCACAAGAGTGAAATTGGACCATAATCACAAGAGTCAAACCCTTCGCCTTCCAAAAGCTTTCCCTGTGTCTAAACAAGTAAAGAAAATGACATAAATAACCAAGTCATAATAAATTGAAAAATTATATTTTTAATGAAAAACCACAAATAATAAAATTACTTTATAGGAAATCAATGCAAAAGAAAAACCTAGTCTTTTTCAAAGGAATTGAATCAAAGGAGATCATAAAGAACTCCGTAGAAGGTTTTCGAAGGATCCTCATATCATATGCTTAATCTCGAAACTTCACGTGGAAGACCAATTGTATGGTAAATTAACTGCAGGGAAACTTCAATTTTCAGTAAAAATGCAGCGAAACAAACTGTCTTATGAGCCCTAGTAAAATGATTAATCGTGGAGATTACGCAAAGCTTCTCGGGGAGGTGGCCATCTTCAACTCTGGCCGAGGTATAGCAGAAATTTTGTTCGGCAAAGTAGATAAGAAAAATAATGAGGAAGATGGCCATCTTCTAAAATTATATCATTCCTATGAATCTAAATGCACCAATATGACAACCATTGTTCCACATCTTTGGAGAGTCTCATAAGTCTCCCGACATTTAATCCTAGAATTTAGTCTCCGAAATTACCTGCCAGTCTCTGCTATAACCTTCTAGCTGAGGAACAACGCCAAAAATGTTGTGGATGTGATTCACTAAAATGTCTTGAAAGACTTGTCACTTACACTTTTGAAATGCACTACTTTGAGAAATTTCGATCAGTCATTGTGGAAAGGATTATTGATAACGAAAAGGATGGGGGGAAGCATATATCGAGGTAAAAAATGTTACAAGTTGCTCTCGGCAGAGAAGGTTATTGGTGTTAGAAGCTTTGGTCTCTAAGCACTCTTAGCTGAATGAATGTCATTCTAATTTGAATATCTCTCTCTATCTAGGTTCAGATGCTGGGTAGTGGGTACAGGGCACCCTTTTCTGGTTGAGATCCAAAATGCATGCCAAGTTTCTCCTGAGGTGTTTATAGAAGATTTATAAATGAAAAATGAATGACATGTAAACCAAATGTGTGTTTTTAGTTATTATTCACATCTTTGTTATACTTTTTATTCTCATAATAGTTTGTAATTTACTCGTTCTGTACAACGCACGTGCTGATTAGTGTAAAGAATCTCAAGGGATAAAGTAATCAGGGGTGGGGACTGTAAAGGAGAATCAAAGAAGCAGGCAAACTTCTTCTCTTGGAGTTATTTACTATCTTGGTTTTGCAGCTTGATGTCAATCTGCAATCACATTTCAAATACAGAGCATCTCACTTTCATTTTCCTAATGCAGCAAATTTTACAAAGAACACCTATAAGAGTTCTCCATCGTCCAAGTCCATTGGAAAGTGAAAAGATTATCCACTGGCAAAAACAATACTATATCTGTCATTTTGATGCAAGAATTTCCCGTTTGAAGTTGTAGATGACATGTATAAGAGTGATGATCAATAAAAATGGTCATAATTTAAATTTAATAAATCTTGCTCTCAACTTTATGAATTTTTAAGATAAGCCAAACATTAGATATCCTGGGGATGAAGCAATCAATTGTCCTTCACACTTACGGATTGTTACCACTTTACTTTCTTTTTGCTGTATCTTGCAGTAATAATTAAATTTATGTATTCAGACCAAGCAGACCAGTGGATAGACTGACAAACTGAAAGTAAACCACTTGAGGAGAAGCTTAAACAATGATTTCACTCAAGCCTCAAAGCAGAATACAAAGTCAGCAGCCCATCATATAAAGAGCAGAACCTAACAAGAATGACTGGGCAAGTCCTGATTACCGATTGAAACTTGGACTGACTTTCCGTATTAGCTAGTAAACTGTATTTACACGCGTTAACATACTAACAAAACTTGTAAAAATTTGCCAAATAGTTAAATCAATTAAAGAAATTTCATTACCATTATAATATCATCAATATGTCCAGAGTACTTAGTATAACTACATCAAAAAGCTATTCAGTAAGATTAATCAACCGCGCTATAGGTACCTGCCACTTTACCTGCTCCTTGACACGGTGGCGTGGCATAAGGGAACTCAAAATAAAAAAATAAAAAATGGTCCAAAACTTGAACCGGCCCAGCCCAACTAAACAAGCCAACCATTTCCCACCTTCATTTTCCCCCAAACCAGAGAGCAGCTGTGGAGGCGAAATCGAAGTTCGAACTCCAGCACCCCATTCATCTTGACCGGAATAAGAAGCCGGTCGAAACTCCATTCACGATTCCGGCGGAGTCTCGCATCCACCTTTCATTTTCAGTTTCAATTTGGTCGATCGACGAAAACCCTTGGGTATCAAAGAAATCGAAGTTCGAAGTCCTGCACTCCCTCATCTCGACCGGAAAAAGGAGCAAACGGCATGAATGGAGCAAAATGTATAATTCAACATTTTGTTCATTTTACTGTGTTCGAAAAACTTGGTGTTGTACACTGGTTTACTGTAGCGTAATCGATTTTTATCAAATTTTCATGAATTCATAATTTTTATCAAATATTCAACTGCATATTTATCAAAATTTAAGTAATGACTAATGAGTTGTACTTCTGCTGTGCAGTTGGAGAAGGAACTTGTGACGAGGCTCGACATAACATTTCTAGTTATGCATGTAAAAGTAAGAATTCCTATTGTTCTGCACCCGATAATGGTTATGGGTATCGTTGTCATTGCCAGGAAGGTTATGAAGGAAATCCATACCTCTATGATGGCTGTAAAGGTGTGGCTATATATATATTTTTTCCCAATATTATCTTGAAGTCATACATATAACTCTCTCATTGAATGGCCAAGCGTTTTTTACAATTTATTGAACTATATAAATTAACAAGATTTTAACTTCATTTTCTTTTTTATTATTGATATTTTTGTTATGCAGATAGATACTGATGAATGTCAAGATACAAGTCGTTTCAATATTTGTGAACATAAATGCGAGAACACACTGGGGAGTTTTTAGTGTGTTTGCTCGAAAGGTCATCATGGTGATGGGAAAAAAATGGAAAAGGTTGCATTTGCAGTGATCAACCACTCGAAAAATTAATTTCTGATATGTACTTGGTGTTCATTTGGGTGAATGTAATGTAGGCTGAGGATAATGGTATAGAGAATTAGTACAACTAATTTGTGGTCTTGTCTATAGTATTTGGGAAGAATCTGTAATGTTTGTTCACTATTATATCAGTAATGTCATTGTGATTGAAAATATGTTCCTGTTTCAAGTTCACCAACTTCCCTGTGTTGATTCTAAATGAAAATGGGAGTTATGCATAATTTCATAGAGTACATTCATGCATAGGAGCTGAAGCTACTGGTGTCACATATATAATGAAGGAGAGATACAAGATGCTTCCATTGTCACTTCATTAATAGCGTCTTGAGTAAATCAAAAATTGACAACATAACCATAAATTGTAATACAAAATGATTCCATTTACTAAATGATGTTGCCGCTTCCTTCGTTATACAAGATGCTTCCACTTTTGGTCATCCACATTCACACGTCTACGCCACTTTGGTGAGGTAAATTTGGATAATAGTACGGTGTTGCATTTCCTACCGTAAAATAATAAGCTGATTAAGGAAACTAGAAGATGAATTACATCATCCACCTCCTCCGAAATTTCCTTGACTGCAGTAAAAAAAACCAATTGCAAGGTTAATTCCCTATTTCTCCCTATTTGTCAATTCTTAACACAATACGAACAAATTGATTACGTTGAATTGAAGCTTGTGTTCATTTTAACACCAGTAATATTTATATTAAGGTCGATGCCGAATGAATGACTGGAGAGATCCAAAACACAGGGACACATAGCAAAATTAACTAGTTAGTGCAACAAAATGACATAAACTTTGCAATTGGCAGCGTATGAGGGTTCTTTTCTACACCGGACAGAGCAGCTCCAAATCATAGAAACGAATAGCCAATTTAATTATAAGTACAACAAAACGACATGCGCTCAGAAACTGGTAGCGTATGTGTTTTCTTTTCAACTCCCAAGTTTATGTTGACTCGATGACAAGTTATTGACAGACAAAATCCTTATCTCAACACATTTCAGCTTTTATCGCAGCTCCAGTGACAGGTTTAGGCTTTCCCCAAGTTCAGCTCAACACATTTAAGCTTTCCCCTAATTCAACTAATTTCAGTTTCACAAAACAATTGGGTGAAATGTGGGTTGAACATTTAAGCTTTCCCCTAATTCAATTAATTTTAGTTTCACAGAGAAGTGAGTAAAAGAAGAGTCAACAAGATATTGATGAAGGGAAATACCTTTTTCCGCCATGTACTCGATTCAATGAAGCCGGCGATAGCTTCAAGCCGGAAGGTCACTTCTTACCCAGGCGAATCTGTGAAGAAGCTGGAACACCAACCATTTCCCACTTCCAGCTCGTAATCAAATAAAGTGTTCGAACTCCACGCTTCCGGCGACTGACTCCGGCGGTAGATCTCAACGCACGGTGACAGAGAAATCGCGGGATTCCATTTGCGTTGAAAACGACATCGTCTAATGTTAGCCCGCCAACCGTACAAATTTTGAATCTTACCGACTTAGAACACAACGGTAAATTTTCTTCATTATATACAGAAATTTCACATAATCAGAAAGCCCATCTTAGAACACAACGGTAAATTCTCTTCATTATATACACGAATTTCACATAATCAGAAAGCCCAAATTCCCTCAATTTCTCTCCAACGGCACAATTCTGAAATCATCTTCCTTTTCTTCATAGTATATCAATTTGGTTAGAGAAGACATTTTTTTCTTGATTCCTCTTTCCTGTTGAAGAGAATCCGATTGAGTTCTTGATATTCCACTTTGTGAATTGTGATCTCTTCTTTTAAAGTGAGAAGACATTTTTCTGATTACGAGAAATTGCAGGGAATCATGGAGAATGTGCAAAGAAACAAGAATCAGAAAACTGCTTTGAAGGCCATCGAAAAGAGTTTCTTGAAGAGGAAAGATTGCATCAAGAAAAAGACCATGGAACTCTCTGTTCTCTGTGATGTCAAGGTCTGTGCCATTATTGTTGGGCCAGACGGAACAGTTGAAACATGGCCAGAAAGTCGTAATGATGTGCAGCAGGTGATCGAAATGTACGTAAACTGCCCAGTTAACAAGAAGAAAAGGCAACGGCCCCAAGAACTTGATCTTGGTGGGGATGATCGCAGTAACAAAAAACGGAAAGTATGTGTTGTCTTTGAGGGAGTGAAGAAGACAGGGTTTACAGATGAAGATTAGCTTAGAAGGATTGATGCCAAGTTATGTCAAGTAAGGAAGAAAATCCAGTTGATTAAGTCCAATGATCAAAACACTATGGACTGTACAATTGATAATCCGATAGAGACATCGTTCTTCCAAGAAACTGCCTCTTTTGATCAGAGTCAGATTATAGATAACTCCCATTGGGTCGACACACAACTGGAAGAAATACACGAATTTGACGAGACTGATCTATTTGATTGGTCGGATCTTTTTAATACAGGGTTTGGAAATCCACATCTAATGGTAGTCGGTAAAGAGGACAGCCATGAACTTTTGACAACTGCACCAACTCTAAAATCGCTCGACTCGTGCAGTAGATTAACTGATACATCTCAAGATTTTCAGTCGTCTACACTAGGAGTGAACTCATTAACCCCTGTTAATAAATTGATGGATACAGTTCCAATGGCATAGAATGAGGAACTCAACCAGTTTACACCAACTATTCTGAACTCGTTTAGTCCTCGTAGTGAGTCAGTGAACTCCTTTACTTTGCAAGGTAATCTGGACTTTCAGCGTTTTACACCAAATTGGAACTGCAGCTTCTTCACTCCATCAGAGACAAAACACTATGGACTGTATCAAAACACTCCGGACTGTACCATTGATAATTCGATAGAGACATCCTTCTTCCAAGAAACTGCCTCCTTTGATCAGAGTCAGATTATAGAGAACTCCCATTGGGTCGACACACAACTGGAAGAAATACACGAATTTGAGGAGACTGATCTATTTGATTGGTCGGATCTTTTTAATACAGGGTCTGAAAATCCACATCTAATGGTAGTCGGTAAAGAGGGCAGCCATGAACTTTTGACAACTGCACCAACTCCAAAATCGCTCTACCCGTGCAGTAGATTAATTGATACATCTCAAGATTTTCAGTCGTCTACACTAGGAGTGAACTCATTAACCCCTGTTAATGAATTGATGGATACATTTCCAATGACATATAATGAGGAACTCAACCAGTTTACACCAACTGTTCTGAACTCGTTTAGTCCTCGTAGTGAATCAGTGAACTCCTTTACTTTGCCAGGTAATCTGGACTTTCAGCGTTTTACACCAAATTGGAACTGGTTCGAAGACGGTGCAATTTTGGATGACCTGACTTCATGGCACGCTGTTGCTAATAATTTTTGGACTTAGTATTTTCTTGTCAGATAGTCATATTTTTTGGTTCTTTGATAGTGAAGTACATTTCTGTTTGAGATCATTGTAATTTGCATCCTTTCAATGCATGACTTAGGATATCAAGTATATACCTTTTTCAATCCGGAAGCTTTCTTTTGCTTTTTATATTTTTGGGTATTGCTTTTTCATTCAGTTGTTTCGGTTATATCAAGACTAATGAGAAGATTAATAAAACAAAACTGAAAACATATTTCTCATTCAAGTCTTGTTCCAAGAACTGCTAATAAGATGGGATCTATGTAGTATGTACCAAAATGTTCCCATTTCATTCATATTTCGTGAAGTATCATTAGAGGCAAAAGTATCAAGTCATAGAATTGTATTAAATTTAAATCCTAGTGTCCGTTTTCAATAATTTTCCTACCAAATATAAAAAAACTTCTTGATTCTTGCCCAAACCAACAAGCTAGGACAGTTTTACATGATAAGGGAACTTGTATTCTTTGTATTCTGTAAACAATGATACACGATTCAAGAGAGGAGTAAATAGAATTTGCCTTGTTGAAGGATCTTGGTCAGAGGATGCCGGTGTGATTTGAGGAGCAGCAGCTTAATCTTATATACAATTTTGTATAGGATGCTGATAACTCTGCGCTCAATGGCCATCTTCCCTGGAAAAGGATAAATCTGCTGTCTTCTGTATTGATAAAGATAGTGCAAATGGATTTTCTTTATTTTATCAGCATTGCTGGAGTTTTTTGTTCATCGAGATGTTTGGCATGCAGTACAGACTTCTTTGATTCTTCTCCTAATCCTAGAGGCTTCACATCAACTACTATTTTCCTGTTTCCATACAAGGAAAGTGTTTCATTTAATCCAATCATTTTATGCACTAGGTTTAGTAAAATAATACTGAAGATTTGATGGCTCGCTTAAATTTGATATTCTCCTTCGCAGAGTGGTTTTGTACCAAGTAGACTTATTGGAGATAATATTCTATTAGCACAAGAAAGACAGCATAAAGGAAGAGCGATATGGCCAAGGCATGGCCAACTTGTGTTCCACTCTATATGAGCTACATATACAACACAATGTCATGTTCAAATTAAACATGGCCAAGACGGATGATAGAATCAAGTAGAGCTTTCTCAATACCATGCTTTGGCAGTATGGATTCAATGAAGAATGGATTGATAACGGAAGAGCGACTTTCTTGCTCTTCAAAAATTTTACAGAAACGTATCTCCTTACAATTGGCATCCAAAATGTGTTAGTTGCAATTGTACTGAATCATTGGAGCATGTATTCATCAAATGGTTGATTGCTGCTGCTGTTTGGAGACATTTTGCTTCCATCGTTAGTGCCAAATCCTTAACATGGACAGGGTGGGGACCTTATTTCAGGCATGGAGCTTCTCTGGACAGTTTGTGTCTTACGGTTTCTTTGGATGGAACTAATGGTGTTATACACACAGACATGAAAATGGATGATCATTGCATAATCTGGAGACTTCATGATCTGATTACTCTGGTTTAAATGATTGTTTAGTCTGATTACAGTGATTACACCTCTCGTAGATCTCCTGACGTCATAAAATGGATAATGCCTGCAGCCTGCCTCCATTAAATGTATGCTAAAAAGGAAATCCAGATTATTGGTAGGTGGTGGTATCACGAGTGAAAGAATTTGTGTGAAATAATAAACATGGGAGTAGTACTCCCATTTCACGAGTTTAGACGATTGGCCTCAAATACTATATCAAACCACAAACTTTTGTTTATACATTTACAGTGAAATGTAAACTCCAAGCAACACATTTCATGCATAAAGGTCTACAAGTTAAAAGATGTTCTGGATTTTATAAGTGTAGCCAATATTACAAGAAAGATACAAATTCATAATTATATTTCTCAAAACGTAATTTGGCCGTGTTTTAGAAGTCATGAAATAAAGGCAGCAGTTTAAGACAACAGAGCGATTCTTATTGTAGATATATTTGCATGCTAGGCTGTCAAATAATTCAATTTTTTCAATCCAATCGAGTTGGTCGCCTCAAAAGTACCCTACCATGTGTGTATTGGCAATCACTAATATGATTGGCTGTTGCAGTCCTGGAAACCCAACTGGGCGAGCTTGGTGTATAAGAAAGATGGGGGAGGCGATTGTGGAGTGCCTTGAAGCCTTCGGTTTAACATGCCCAGAAACTCTTCAGAAAATCGAAATTTGTACGTTCATTTGACGTGGAGGTAGGCATTTTGTGTATATGTCAACTGAAACAAATTTCCTTCCTTGAGTAAGTAATATGAATTCTTGAAGTATGATTTGGAACCCGTTGACCAAGAGAAGACTCCATTTGTCGTATTTCAAGGACACCGTCCAATGTGTACGACCGGGAGTAAAATTAGAGAAGCCCCATTGAGGGGTCATGTACATAAATATGAAAGATTTTGACCACTTCACAACTTTACATGTGGAAATTTGGAGATAAAAAGGCGTTTCATGTACGTGTTGTGAAAGGGATGGCCGGGCATTTAAGAAAAATACACGATAAGAAGAAATTTCTTTTTGCATAAGGATTTAGTTGCATTATATCATCCATTAGATCAAGCAACAAAGTCAACAATGTGGCCAAAAAAAAAAAATCATACAACTTATCCCGAGTATGTCCATTACCACTGGCCACTTTTGTAGAGTGAGACCATCCTAAAATTTTGTTTCTATCACTGTGTGTGTGTGAGAGAGAGAGAGAGTTCCCCACAATCTAATGTCACAATAGACAAAATTTTGTTATTGCAAGTGAACACTGTACAAATTACAATTTCACAATGAAAGACTTCCATGATAAAATATAGAACCAAAAAAATGTGAAGAAGCGCAACAACTGGTGTTCAGCTATCATTTCGAAAAACATAAATAGGGGTACATATTTCAGCTATCTAAAATTCAACTTGAAGTATCTCACTTCCCAAGCAAACGACGCGCACGTTGATTGGCACCTTTCACCCGATAATTTAGTTCATCCACATCGTCTTGAAGGTAATTGAGGTCCTTGTTTTGCCTGTTGTCATGCAGGTATACTACACAGGTTACATAAACTCGTGATATATAAATAATGAGAAAATGAAACTACACCATGTGAGGGGAATGGGGAGGATCTACTGATGAAACACATTTACATATCATCTTATGGTCATCGATGCTACAGCAGCAATAGCTCACCACATCATTGACAAGAAATTTTACACAATTATGCGGCTTAGACTTAGAAGTTTATATCATTCAATTTATAAAACACTCTAATTTCACACAATCATGCGGCTTAGACTTGAGAAGTTCATATCATTCAATTTACGAAACATTGTTTCTTATTGTAGTATCGTGGATATAGTATGTAGACACCTCCGCACGTGGAAAGTCCAGCTTCATTGTTTCATCAAAGGCATAACACGGACACAATATTTCATAAACGGGTGAAGGTGAGACTACAATACCACTTTATTGTGCTACCTTGTTGAAATATGAGGATGATTGTGCATAATATAATTATAAAGATAATTGACCTGTCAAGTTCAGAACCCATGTCAGTAGCCATGCCCTTTAATTCACCCAATATATTGCTGAGATCTGAAAGTGCATCATCTTGCTTTGCCTTCTCCACCTAGTAATGAACATTAAAAATAATGAACACATATCATGGGTATGCATTATTGTAATAAAGGATTAATGAGAGAAATGTATGTAACAAACAGATACCTCAACTTTCTGTAAGGAGTTTGTTGGATCCAGAGGAGGCGTACGAGAAACAGACCGTCCTTTAGGTGCCAAATTCAAACCTAACTTTTCCCTTTGAGCCGGGCTACTTCGTTTTCCTATATCATTTTCATCTATTAAAGCGACAAAGCAGCTTAATCAAATAAAAAATGGATCAAGTGTTACAATAGGAAACACCATATTAATCATGTACTACATCTATCTCATAAAGATAGTCATATTTCTTTTTCCACACAGATTAAGAAAAATTAGTTAATATAGTCGAAATAATAAATTTTACTATCATTTTTCCTAATATACCTCTATATTAATGCAATCAATATTCAAGATAATTAAACTAATCAAACGAGTTACCATCTTGCGGAGGCATGTTACTGGATAGAATCCCACATCGAATAAAGATACAAACATAAACCAACTTATAAAAGATTGAGTTACTCCTCTTAATAAGGTTGACCTTTTAAGATGGAACCTCTATTCTTAACAAAACTATTCTTGATACTAGTCATTGTTTAATGCAAGAATCAAGGTAATTAACATTCAAAAGTCATCCAATACAAATATAAATGGATAAATGTCAAGGAACATGAAATGATTTTTTTGATTTTTAATTTATTGTTAAAACTACAATTAAATATTGGAATGGTTTATATTTGAGATAACAAAGCACATTAAATAGGGGGCATATTAGGAAACTAATATATTAACTACATTTTCAGATAAGAAACAATACTATAATTTGGGATTGACGAAAGAGGAAAGCATGACTATCTTTATGGGACGAAGGGAGTATTATTTTTCAAATCAATCAAGTTTCATATAATGAAAATGAAAAAGAAAACTTTAAAACCTCTTGAAGTTAAAGGCCCTGCGATGTCCCTTGTCTTTTTTGACTTCCAAGGCATAGAAAACATGTTGCCAAGATTATTCAACAATTTCTCCCCCTGAAGGAAAATTATATGATCATCATTAGTAGAGAAAAAAATGTGATCAAAAGCAAGGAAATATAAAGTCAAGAAAATAAAATTGAACATTAGGAGAGAAATCTAGTTAGTCCAGATCAACTACATCCAACATTTCAAACCAACATGCGTAATATATAGCCAGTAAAAAAAGGTTACTTATTTTGAAATTAACTCATAAATTACCATCAAAATAAGTAACTTATTTATAAATACATTTTTAAGCTTAGCCATACATGCTCTAATCTATCTCGGGTTCTTCTAGATGACACAACTAAATACAACACTTATGTCTTCAATTCATGTTCTATCCATTTGTTATTTATAAAAGTATAAGATCCTAATAATGCCTAAGAACTTGAATTACATGATAGTTGTAAGGAGTTGTGGTGACAAATCAATCAAAAAACTATAAGCAGTCTAGTAAGCATTGTCTGGCACAATCTGAAACACATGCAGAGAGGCCACATAAATGAAGAGAACGCAGATATGAAGTTCCAAAGGAAGAAAAGAATTACTGAAAATTCGAAAGATTACTATAATTATGTTCAAGGTGACTTGTTACCAAATCCAATAGTGTACCAAACAAACAGTTAGTATGGCTAGAGCATAATAGACTCTGTAACTTATCCCCAAGCAATACAAATTCATTCATACTCCATAAAAGGGAAAATGAGAAAATAATTTTCTTATCCACAAGTTATTATATCATGAAAATTATGGATGCAAAGCGAAATAAAAATGTGATACACCCTGCTCAAATCACGGTCCATATCAACAGCCACCATGTGGGTCTTGTGGATTTGCTCGCCCTGTTGATGCAAGGTCTCTAAGGTTCTAACACCATCCTGTCTAATGTCCTCTGCAATCTTCAGGCAGTTGTTCACGGAGTTTGTCGTCTCTTGAGCCTTGTTCATAGCATCACTCTCAAATTCTTGTACAGACGTGCTCTCAAGGTCTTTCTTGCCCTGAGACTTGATATTCTGCTTGTTTCTAGAGGAGTAAGAGGATGAAGAAGATGCTCCTCTCCCAAAATCATCATCATCGTCATCAAACGGATTATATTTTTGGCTTGGTGTAATGAGCACTGGTTCGGAAGAAATTCTTCTTGTGGGTGTAGTAGTTGATTTGTTATCAGATTCCGTATCAGAATCAAAAGGATTAGAAGGGTCAATTAAGTTTTGCTTAGGCAGTTCATTGGCAGGTGATTTCCTAAAGCCAAACATTTTAGCAAATTGGTTTGTGAGTTGAATTACTACCCAGAAGTCTAGTATAAATTCCTATCCAAAGTTTCTGTCCTGCTAGGATTGTGCAAGATGGACTCCAATATCCAATTGTAGCACCTGGAAGCACAATTAGTTTAGAAAATGAAAAGAATATCATAACAATCCGATTATGCTTTTCACGTTAAGAGATATTTTCACATAAGAAGATATGACATACATCACACAGAAAATGACTTGCATAAAACCTAAAAGATTATGACAAGTAAATGACAAAAAATTGTCAAGTTAATATTAGATAAAGGCAATTAGAATATTCCTTTTATGCATATCACAGGAATTAAAACCATTATGCAACTTTCGATCAAATATCTCAGAGAAGGAAAAAAAATGGTTTTCAAGAGCAATTCTTCTAACGAGTCCAGTGGGAGAGTCAAAAAGTGAAAAATTTCACCAACTTTCTAGCAAATGCACAAAAACAGCCACAATTTTTCACTGTTTCCGAAACTACCCCAGTTAATGATAGATCCTTGACATTTGAGAAAGTTAAAGGAAATGTCGTCAAAACTTTTTATTTACACATTTTCCTGTTTCCCAACATCCATTCCATTTACTGATGTCCCTCACTCATACGATCACTTTTCTCTTTCTTTCATTGAAACTCTTTGTTCTCTTGCATCGGAACTCTTTCTTTCTTTCTCCTTTGAAACACCGCTTGCAACAGGGCTCGGCCAGCCCTGTAGAGCCCGGTGAGTAAAACATTTTTATTATTTCAATTATTTTTCAATAGTTGTTACATATATTATGCAATTGTGCTTTTTTTTTTCAAATAAGCTGCTATTTTTTAATTGTTGCTCTTTCTTTTAAAACCAAGATGCAACACAGGGCCAACAAGTAGTCAAGTGGTTGCCATTTTTAAAACCCAATAGGTAATATTTCATTATCAACCATAAATCTCATAAGCAGGTAGTTTCAGCAAAAGTGAAAATCTTGTGCATTTGCTGGAAAAGTGACCATTTTTAATTTCCTTTGCTTGAAATGGAAAATATCTTAAAAGATAAACTCGTGATTTATATGAAGATAAAACCCAGGTTCAGCAAGAAATGCGAACAGAAACGATAAATTATGAAGAAAAAAACACATCAGTTTACAGTGATTTCTAGAAATAAACACCCGAGAACAAGGAGTCCCTCCAAGATCTAGAAACAGGCAACAATAAAGGAGAAGAGAGAAGAAATTGTACCTGAGTTAAAATTAATGAAAAGGGTCCCCAATTTTGTACTTGAAACGCTAAAATCTTTCGGATTCCAGTATTCGGCGACGCAAAATTTCTGCTTCAGAGAGGAGAAAAATACCATGCAGCAAGTTCGTCCACTATGCGGCAAAGACAAAAAAGAGAATTTTTTTTAGTACGATTAGAAAAATTATTTTGCGTTTCGAGAGAATGAAGAAGATTATAAGAGGCGCCGTGGAAAGCCAGATTGAGAGACATTCAAACCCTTTCGACAATTTTTTGACCGTTGGGCCAGACAACGTTCCAATTAATTTAAGAAATTACACTAACACCCTGCATTATCTAAATATTTCACTGACAGCCTCAAAGATTATAGAAGCCTCAAAAACAAATCTGAGATCCTCAGTCTATACAAAAGACAGCAATCAGGTCCTCAGTGTTAAATTTTGTCTATTTGTAGACCAGCATGGCGTGGAACATTATTCAAAAAAGAATTACATATTTTAAAAACAGCAGTCTAGATTTCGATCAGAAATTGCTTGGTGACTCCCCGGCCCATATCGTTTGATTCGAACATGATACATCAAATTTTGCATGGGCTACATAGTTCAATTCCTGCCTTAATGGACAAAGTAAAGGAAGGAAAACAACTCATTAAGTCAGAAATTCTAGAAGAGCTCCCTTGGTTGCATCAACATGATGGTTCTTCGCAGCTTGGCAACATTAAAACAATCGTACTCAATCGTGGAGACTGCAAGATCATGCGTGCAGGCAAAGGTCAATCCTTCAAGTATAGAAAGGTATTCTGCAATATACAGTGTAATTCTTTCAGGGGCCTTTTTCTAACAGCCGACTTTCGGCACACAACGCCCATGCCAAAACAATCACCTCCAACCAGCAAAGAAGCGTCCACATTGAGGCAGCCCAAGGAGGGCTGAGAATCACCTCCAACCAGCAAAGAAGCGTCCACATTGAGGCAGCCCAAGGAGGGCTGAGATCATCTCCTCTCACCAATAGTATCCGGATTCCAACCTGTACGAAAGTTCGCATTGCCTGAAATTCAGCTAAGAAGGCTCTGGCCTTCTCAAGCAATCTGCTTAGCAAGCATCTGTCTTTACTGCCAAATATTAAGTTGTTTCATTCAGTCCAACAGTACCACCCCACCACGAGCACCACCTCTATCTCCGAAGCACTTATTCTATCATACAAGAGCAGAAAAAATCTACGACACAAGACATGGTATCGAGGCCCCACTTCATATCAAAACCACTCTCTTTCCAAATTCAGCCTCAGGGAAAGTGAATATAACAAGGACACTGTCTTCATTCGATTCAGAAAAGTGAATATAACATGGACACTACTGTCTTCATTTGATTCAGAACTCTGCTGCAAATTGGATCGATATTCAGATGACATTTACGCAGTCATGCTTTGGATGGGATAAGCTAAGAACAGCCCGCCGAGCAAAAACCCCCTACACATGACACGGTATCAAGGCCCTACCCCCACTTCATATCAAAACCACTCTCTTCCCAAATTGAGCAGCAAGGCAAGTGAATACAACAGGGACACTGTCTTCATTTGATTTAGAACTCTGCTGCAAAGTGGATCAATATCCAGATGACATTTTCGAAGGTGGATGGGATAAGCTCAAGAACAGCCTGCCATTTGGAGTGTATTACATCCCCACGGGAATTTTCACCAGCTAGCCAATCCATGGAAGGAGCTTTCAATGCCATTCTTTGATAGACATGGCAAGTCTGCACCTAGATTTTACTGAATAAAGCCCGCACCATTTAAAGTGCAACATAGGGACACCACCTGGCAGTGACAGTATCAAATCAGCCATGCTGAGAAGATTATCGCCCAAGCAGTTCTGCTCATTCAACTCCATGCTTCACTCAAATCATCATAATCTTTCTGTTTCCTATGCTGTATAGTTATGGGGTGTTTTTCCGAAAAGTTCTGTCATTTTGCCCTTCCTTTTAAATCAGTAAGACAGTATCACAGGCTCGCAAGAGATCTGACAATAAAACATTTAAGCCGTTGTTGAGTCATTTCTCATGAGTAACTCCCACACTTGAGTCATCTTTTAACTTCAAAAATAAACCTAATTCAAGTTCGGAGAATCTTGATTGATCAAGAGGATCACCTAAATGCAATTTGGGCTATAACTGATGCTTAGAATAGTCACCCGAGATGCGTAAAGCAACAATTAATGCAGAGATGGCACCATCTGAGAACATAAGTCGATGTTGATGTACATGTCAGCCTGACTAGTCGCAGGTGACTTCCTCAAACCCCTTGTCTTCATCAAGTCTCGAACTCGACTGACCTGGCTCCATGCTCTATTAGAAGCATATAAATTTGACATAAGCACATAATGGCTTGCATCATGAGGATGCAACTCGAGCATTTTTTGTACTGCCATGTCCCCAAGATCGAACCTAGAGTGAATGCTGCATCCATGAAGAAAAGCACCAAAAACAGTAACATCGGGCTGAATTGGCATTTTCTCAATAAAAACAAAGGCTTCCTCGAGCCTGCCAGTACGAGACAATAAATTGACCATACAAACGTAATGCCTCATTGAGGGGACAATATCATATACCTTGCACATTGTATTAAAGTATCTCCATCCCTGAAATTAGTAAGGCCATACCGATGTCGCCGATAGGATGTTTGTGAAAATTACATCAGTTGGTTCTATGTTTTCCTTCAGCATATCATGGAAAAGGGCCAGGCAATTGTTAGCATCCCCTTGTGTTCCATAACCGCTAATCATTGCACTCCATGTAACAGTGTTCTTCTCTGCCATCCTGTCAAAAACACTGCGAGCAGACTCAGCATTACCACATTTCGCATATAAATTTAGAAGTGCAGTACCAACATAGACATTCTTGGCTGACAAAAACCCTTCTTTGACAGAGTAGGCATGAAGAGAAGAACCAAATCTGATATCCCCAAGGAAAGCACAAGCTGAAAGGACAGCCACCACTGTTATGCAATCAGGCTGGATGAAATCTGATCTCATCCGATAGAACAATTTCAGCGCCTCATAAGCAGATCCACTTCGAGAATACCCGCTAATTATTGAGTTCCAAGCAATCACATCCTTATCTGAAATATTCTCAAATAAATAATTTGCATCTCCTATTCTACAATGCTTTGCATACATGTCCACTAGAGCATTTATCACACTGGCATCATCTAATCCAAGCTTAATAGCCAGACTATGAACAGATGGACCCAACTTCGGATTGGTTGATTGTGCACAAGCTGAAAGAACGCTCGCCAAGGTAACTGAATTCGGCAAAACACCTTGCCATGTCTTGTCTGTAAACAACAGCAATGCCTCTTCTGCATAGCCATTCTGGGCATAACCAACGATCATGGCAGACCATGAAACAAGATCATTAATGGAGTACTCATTAAAAATCAATCGGGCATCTCTAATAGCCCCACACTTCACATACATATCCACGAAAGCAGTAACTAAGTATGAGTTGACCTCAATCCCATTCTTGATCACATACCCATGCACCCACTTTCCCTGATGCAAAGCCCCTAATTTTGCACATGCTGTCACTACACTCCCGAAAGTGTACTCATTTCCTTCAACCAAGCCGTCTCTCATCCGATTAAACAAAACTAACGCTTCTTGATCACAATCATTCTGCACATACCCAACAATCATAGATGTCCAACAAACTACATTTCTATACAAAATCCTGTCAAAAACTTTGCGAGCAGTTTCAGTATCACGGCA